GACAATCCACAGAGAGGGAAAAAATTACAGCCAGTTGTCCCATAGACAAAGGACATGCTATATTTATCTTCTTTCAAAAAAGGAAGGAACAGCTGGGATAGGGGAAAGAATATGTTATATCTAGAACATATAAAGAATTTTTGAAAAATCAGACCCCCTAAATTTAAAGACCCAATCCAAAAATGGGCATCTGAGATGAATACACATTTCTCAGATGAAGAAATACAAATGGGAAATAAATACATGAAAAAATGTTCAGCATCACTGGTCATCCAAGAGATGCAATTTAAAACAAACTTGAGATTTTGTCTCACCCAGAAAGAATGGCTATCATCAAGAAATCAAGCAATAACAAATGCTAAAGGGGCTGTGGAGGAAAAGGAGCCCTTCTCCACTGTTGGTGGTAGTGTAGACTGGTGCCACCATTGTGGAAATCAGTGTGACGATTCTTCAAATAACTGGTATTAGAGGTCCCATTCAACCCAACTATTCCCCTTCTGAGTATCTTCCCAGAAGAATTAAAATCATCATACCACAATGAAATGTGTGCACCCATGTTTATAGCAGCACAATTTGTCATAGCTAAATCTTGGAAACAACCCAGATGACCATCAACCAAGGAATGGATAAAGAAGATATGGTTATTTTATATAGTGGAATACTGCCACACCCTAAAAAAAGGATAAAATGGAGTCTTTTATAAGTAAATGGATACAACTTGAGAACATACTCATAAGTGTAATAAATCAGATGCATATGTATAAACATCATATTGCCTCACCAGTGTGAAAAAACAAACAAGTAAATAGGACCCAAAATGTACAACAGATATTGTGAATTTGGAAGAAACTATTCAAAAGAAAAGACAAACTTTGTTGGGGAAAGGAAAATGAAAAAAGAAAAAAATATATGTATATATAAGACAGTTGAGATTGCACACAGCTAGTTTCTGTTTATTAAAAAGAAAGTTTTGTGATAATATTGTATAGACAAGATATCTTGCCTATATCTTCTTCTGTAAATAACTGCTAAGGAGACAACAACACACAGTGTATCAACTATTGTAGCTGTCCTAATAGCCTATTTTGAAACTTATTTTAATTGTTATATTTATCTTTTTTT